AAATGATGGTAGTTGTAGTATTGTGGTAATTTGCAGGTTGTGTCAAAAAGTTGTTGGTCTAGATAAATAGATGTATTCTGTACGTTTGACTCATGTATGATAATTTTCTCCCAAATACGATCATTTTGAGCTTCTGGTACGATACTTGGACATTTCCAATCTGGCAACACTGGTAGCCATTGTGTTGCCAAGTCCGTGGTTTTCCCGCGGAATTGGTCTAACGTTACTTTAACACCGTTGCCGCGGGTTGTTTTTCATGTCCGCGGGTTGAAGCGACCCCAATAACGTGATATTTAGCCCCTGGAATGCGAATTGTACCGGGAGACCCGCCTCGAAACGCGATTGGACTAGTTTTGAGTAGAAATTGAGCGGGTTTGTTGCGAAAACCTGGCGATCATGAACGGTAATGACAGTAACTCGCGATTGAGCGGGCGAACCACTGATGATGCTAATGCGCTAAGTTACTAACGTTAGTTATAGGCTAACGTTACGCAAAAATGGTGAAACTATAGACTTTAACTCCACAATTCAGTACTAAGTTACATAGCTTAGAGTCTTTGTAACGTGTTTTCAGCAATAACGTTATGTAATAACGTTATGTTATTTGTTATTTCAGCAATAACATTACGTTATGTCATTTCTAACATTTATGTGTTTAGAAACAGTTCCCTGAATTGACTTTACACTGCTTGCAGTTTAGGCTAATGCAACATATTAAAAAGCATAACCAAAACGCGTTTCTCTTGATAGCAGTTTAAAATAAAAAAAAATCTATATTCTGTACAAACCACTGATCTATAATAGAGAAATATATTATCATTATGTATAGATCAGAGGTACGCACACAGAATGATATTCACTCAGGATTCTGAAAACTTTGCACGGGTGTATGTGACCATACTGTCTTGATTTAATTAAATTACTATATAGCCAAAATACTAAAATATGTCTCAATTCAAAAAGCTAAATAAATACATAACTTATGAACTGACAAACTTCTAATTTAATTTTATTTAGATTATTAATAATAATGAGAATTAAGATGCAAATGTTTAACTCAAGTAGCAGTAACTAAATATAAATCAAGGTAAATTAATAACAGCATAGGTTTTCCTGTTCATGTATCTTTTACGTTTACATAAACTGAAATGATCTCTAATTAAAGGTGCTAGAAATCTGATCTAACTCTGTGGACAATATATAAACAAAACCGTTTTGATAACTCTGAAGACTAGAGTCTAGTTATGGTAAATCTGGCATTCTAAATTCAGCTGACATAGTAGTTTCAGACATCTAATATCAGGGACATTACACATGTGCAAGAATATTACATATACTGTTACTGATATTTCGAGTAATGTATTATCTGTAATATTCACAATTATTGAGTTGTTTGCTGCTGCAATTGCAAAAATAAAAAAAAAACTTTCAACCATCAAAGTAAAACTTGCTATTTCATTAGATACCTAATACAAACTTCATTTATCATTCATTAAAGTAATGTTTACCAAGAATAGTTGAAATAGAGTTGTAATATAATTTATAATTTAAATATCTAAATAAATATATTTATAATTAATCATCGATACAAATTTAAAACCTATACATTTCATAAGCATAAAGATCATAAGCAGGAAATTAAACGGTGAACAAAATTCTTAATTATATTTTTTTTTTTTCCTGTGTATACAACAGAAATATTCAAGTCACTCACAGAATCAGGCCTATACACAACAGTGGATAGACTGTTAGTCAATTGTCCATTATGATCATTGTGTTTGTTTTGACAATGATTTCAGATTTCTTGCACCTAAGAGGTTCATTTTAAATTGAGACCTGCCAGGATGGACACGTACCTTCTGAAGCGTTTGTAAAAATGTCGTTTTGACATCAGAACGTCTGAGAAGCATTCATATTTTTCTTCAGATTTGGGTAGGAATAAGTGGGAAGGGTCTGTTCAATGAAAAATGTTTTTTTACTTTATTTGCTGGAAATTGTATTATTTTTAGATGTTTGATTTTAAACATGTGTTATGTGTTGGAATGAATGTGTGTATGGACTGTGGTCTAGTTAGAGATTCAAAAAAACATGTCTGAATGATTATTGTGATTTATATGTTTTTCTTTAAATAATGAATCCGTGAATGAACAAACCTTTTCCTAAAGCCACAAGCAAACCCCTTACTTGATGAATGTCACTCAGTGGTAGCGCATACAGGAAATAAGTTCAATTGCATAGTGTATTTAATGATTGTTACAGAATAATGATTGGCTTATGTAGCTAGCACAAATTTCACACAGATTTAGATTCATGAAAATGAGATGTAGGCTTTGAGTGACTGCCAGCATTTTTCTTCCTCTTTCCACTCAGAATCCCAAGGTTTTGCACCCAAGTATCATGCCCTCACAGTGAATTGCTTGTACCTTAGACATTTATTTCCCAGTACAGTGCTATTGATGTCATTTAGCAATGTGTAAAAGGTCTTGGACCGTTCTGGAGGCACATCAAGAGTACACATTGTCAGACTCTTCCTAATTAAACACAATTCAACTCATCAGTGGAGACTTCAAGCAAAGATCCCCAGCTTCTGAATGTACCTTCTTCCCTACTATCATTGTTTTCATAAAACAGTAGGCAAAAAGTTCATGGATAACCTACTCTGATCTGCACTGACTGATGTGATGGACACTTTACTGTCCCATGAGGCCACATGAGAGGTGTTGAGAATGGAAGTGATTGTAACTGATGCTGTAAGTCACATGACAACATGGCAGATGTAGTATGTCTGCATTTCATTCATCCGACACACATTCAGACTAGGCCTGAACATACTTTTAGAGCATCTAGTATCTCCTCAGACAAATATGGTATTTGAAGTACACTCTAAAAAAAAATGGTGCTAAATAGCACTAAAAGTGGTTCTTTGGCTCGTAATCATAGAGGAACCACTTTAAGTGCTACGTAGCACCATCTTTAAAGATATAGGTGCTATGTAGCACCTTAACCACCCCAAAGAACCACTGAAGCACCATTACAGGTTCTTATAGGTACTATATAGCACTTAAATTGGTTCCTCTATGATTACGAGCCAAAGAACCGCTTAGCGGTGCTATATAGCACCTCAACTACCACAAAGAACTGTTGAAGAACCACATTTTTTGTGTGTAGCCATGTGCTTATTATGGGAAGATTTCAACCTCTGCAGCTCTAATTTGGAGACAGGCAACTTGGATCATATTTCTTGATAACCAGTCACATTATAGCCTAGACGTCATTGAATTGCTTTTAGAGTTGTACGACAGCCAGACGCTGTTTGTGGATACCATAGAAATAAATGATACCACAAAATTGTCAGTTCTCTTACATAACTGCAATATTTTTCAGCATAAACACTGAAATAGATCTATCAAAAACAAATGTTTATTGGTAGACTTGAAGATTAGTTGACAGGCTGATTTAGAGGAACACTGACTTGCTGTTCTGTTCTGCATTGGATTCAGTAATATTTTCTTAATGGCAAGCTGGACTGTGAAATGGTGTATAGTTGGTATAAATTGCTCTTATTAACCCCCGGCAGTTTAAATTGTAGTTGGTATAGAATAGTGTTAGTTCCAACAAATCTGATTCAGTTTTCCATGTTACATGTAATAAGAGTGGAGCAAAAGCTGGCAGTACTTTAAAACCCATACTGATACATTTGTTATAACAGAGAACATAACACAAATTTAAAAAAAAGTGATTAAAACTACTCAACACATTATTGGTGTCTGTTAGAAATTATTTTGGATTATCTGAGGTAAGTCTGTGTGTATTTACTGTTATCGCGCTGCCAAGAGTCACATTTCTGTGTTCTCACTGCATTCAGGATAGAAGTGTTAGCAGGAGCTCCAGGGGTAAGTGTAAACGCTGTTATTTTGCCCTAGATTTTGTTCATTCATGTATTCTGTTTTCTTCACTGCAATAGAAAATGACTGTTGATGGCAAATACACACTCTCAATCCTTATTTCATGTCAAATTTTAAACAGGTGTGCATCTCACGTGACCCATCAATGCTTTATAGTATCAACGTTCACCATTCGATCAAATCCTTCTCTTAAAGAAGCCAGGATGTTGTTCTATTAAACTTCCTCTACTTTTTTTTTTTTTTATCTTTGAGTGTTTAAAGAAGAATTTCCTGATCAGGTCTTGTTTTGCCTTGACGCTTTTCGCTAAGCTGTCCTCTTTCAACCATGAAAATGAAGATTCAGCCAGCATAAAACCTATTGAAGATATGAGTCTCTCTTCACACAAAAAAAAAGGAAAAAAAAGGAAGAAATCAGAAGATCGGCGTGATGTTTTCCTTCATCTCACAGCTGCGGTCAGGCCACTCTTACTACAGATTGAAGAAGTCCTCTTTGAACGTCTGCATTCTTCTATATACAGTTATTGGCTTCTTATTGCCACTGCTTTTACCATGTTTATTCTGGTGTGGCGTTCATTTACTTTGTTTTGTTTTACTTTTGGCACATTCAGATTTTAACTAATAGCATTATTTCACTTTAAAAATATGAAATGTTTTTATTAAAAGAATCATCTGTCCAGTTCATCTGTTGAATTGAAGAGAATTCCTGGAAAAATCATTTGGCAGTGCCAAACCACTTTTCATTTGCCAGTCAGTATTGCCACAGGCAAATATTTACCATTGACTGGTGTAATCGAAATGTTTTGTATTCTTAATATCATGTTCTTTGTGTGTGTGCTTTAATGATTTTTCATTTTCTATTGCAGTCGAGACATCACAACATTATAAATGTCTTTAAATAGATGTTCAATGATTTATCCAGTATTATTTAAAAAAATTTTTTTACTTTTTTTTCAAAAATGTCCAAATAAATTAGGGTTTTAAATACAGAAAGGGAAGTGTGTGTGCGTGCGTGCGTGCGTGTGTGTGTGTATGAGTGGTTTACAAACACTTGCCTTAGACCAGCAGTGTTAATGCACTAATTTTATCATTGCGCAGCATGAGGAACGCTAGTGGACTGACCGCCGCTGACCTAGCCCATGCCCAGGGCTTTCAAGAGTGCGCCCAACTGCTTTCCAATGCCCAGAACCAGCAGCTCAATCAGCGTAACGGGTTCTCAGCCAATGGCTCTGTGTGCTTTGGGGACCGCAAGCTAATCCAAGAGCGTGGCATCCTTAATGGGGTTCCCAGCCGAAAAAGGTCTCTTGATTGCATGGAGTCTAATCTAATTAAAAAGGCCAGAACAGATGGTACGTCTTGACTGAATGTTTAAAGTTTGGTTTTAAAGACATTTGTATGATGAAGTTGGGTCGCCACTTGCTAACGTGAAGGTGTCATTGCAGATCTCGGTTATCAGCCGATGAATGGAGTAAACGGATCCAGTAGAGAGGACCAGATGGAGAACATGCACATGGAGTTTGGCCAAGCGCTGAGTACCCCAGGTGGGAACAGACTCCTAAATGGATCCTTGCTTTTGGGGTCCAATGGCTACATCAGTCCAGAGCAGGACCGGGGGGTTCGAATGGAGAGCTCGTCCTCTCCCGTCCACAAAGATTCCGAGATCTTCACCGTGCAGATACCATGCCGTTGCACTAACTCCTATGCCTATTTGTAGGAGCATTTGCCTTGGCTTCATTTAAGCTCTTTTGGTGATGTGTGTCTGGGAGGGAAAATGATTCAATTTGACACACATCATATGTATAAAACATCTGGTCATAAGTTGCTCACACCACCCCGTCCTTTTAACGTCTGGTGGTATGCACATTGTTTTAACCTAAAATGGAGAAGGTGTTTTGAGTGGTAGAAGCAAATGTTGAGTTTTGTTTTGCACAATAACTTCCCTGAATGCCGTTTTAATTTTTCATTTTGATTCTATTGCATTCCAAGAGCAATTAAATGATTTTTTTCTTTCTCTCTAAAGTACTTGCATGATGTTATTAGGCTGTTTTTATGCCCTGAAGTCTATACTTGGAAAGAATGTCTTAGTACGACACTTTCACAGCTTTTCCTGTGAATTGTATTTGCCCCGCCAAATGCCTGACCTTGAGTTTTGTAACATAGTTGGATTTTGGTTTAGGCTGTTGGTTAATACATTTGATATGAGTAGCCCATATTCTATTAAGTATCAAAAAAATAAATAAATCCAGGTTAATGCTTTTTTTATGTGTATATATACAGTATATATATATATATATATATATATATATATATTTCCATGTTGAAAATATAAAATATTGTGCATTTTATTTTCCTTTTTTTATTTCTTCAACATTTAATTCTCTTGTTCTGCCAAAGCATATCTTATCATGAATGTATAAAGTACATCTACAGGCCTTCGCTGTGCAGCTTTCATACGTGTGTTCTTGTAAGGAAGTCTAGGTGCTATTCAGACACTTCTTTAACCTTTTTAACTATATTAGGTTGTAGTTGTTTTTCTCTCTGTTGCTGTTAATGCAAAGCCTGTTGAAGAGGGTCTGTTATTAGATTTATTGTATCTGCAGTCTCAAGTGTTTATCAGTCCGGAGGTTATTGTATGAGGGTAAAAGTTTTTTTTGTTTGTTTTTTTTCAGCTAATATTTTGCATAGGATTTCATATGTAGTGTAGAAAATATTTGCTGAACTGATTAAGTATGAGAAGTATGAATTGAGGTGATTCATTAAAGGCATTGTACTTTCTATAAATTCATATAAAAATGGTCATTTCACTCAGAACAAATGCCAGAAATTTTGCACTGCATATAGAATAACACATGATTGCCGATTCAGAATTACAAGGGACATCTCACCATAAGTGCTCATTTAAACACCGGCTATGTGTGACACATAGACAATATTGGTCATGTAAAGTTACAGGATGCCTAAGATGGATATAAATGTAATTTCTATACTCATTAAATGTTCTCATTTAACAATCAACACTGACTCTTGAATTTGTACATATGAATAGTTTGAAAGAACATGTTAGCAAATCAAAAACCACTTGCAATTGTTAATTTGATACTGTTTTTGTAGATTCTAATGCGGCACACATGTATCATCTATTGGTTTGCACCTTCAGTAACCTCTGGACTATTTTGCTGCCTTCACATATAACATAAATTAAGAATTAAGCCCTGTTATTTAAATCAAAGTGATATTAATTTATAAGGCAAAATGTTTAATGTCGAAGCTAATGTAGGGCAGTGTGCCAGTGCAATGTTTTTGTAGAGTTGAGCAATATCATGGCTTGAAGCAGGACTTTAATCTCAATTTCAAATGTTCAGATATAATCGTTATGTAAACCGAACTGGATGGGTGATTTGTATGCCCAAAAAATTATATGAAAAATGTAGACCTATTGGAAATTGTTGTGCAAAACAAAAAAACATTCAGTTAAGAATGAAGAAGCAATCTTAATCTTTCTTTAATGAATTATAATTCATGTGTTCTCTTTGACAGCAGGACTCCCATTAAATGGACACTGCTATCCTGTGCAGCACCTCAGTGGAGGTGACCTGATGCATGAGAACGTAAATGGAAATGCAGCCGAGGTTGTGGGTGTCTCCTCACGTCCTGGTTGCTTTGAAAATGGCCTTCATTTTGGGCATCATAATGGCTTCGGAGATACGGCTGAGAACATGGAGGACGCCAGCAGTCAGATAGAGCATCGCAAGTCAGTCAGTGTAGAGGAGCAGTATGACCACATCACCTTCAACACCATGCACCTCTACCATGGGTGTTAGGACGTCCCGTCCAGACTCATATGCTTTTTATATATCCATATAGAATGTGCTGAATTGCTTTAAGTCCGTGTCCTTTTAAATGGACACTGTATTTGTATTTGTGTTGTTAAAAAAAAGTGCAATCTTTTCTAATTTGGGTCATTTAATTGAGTTGGAGAATCCGGAGGCCGTTCATTTTTTATGCATTATTTGTAAGTACATTTATTGTATTAATTGTGCCTACATATACAATATAATTGTTTATTGACATCTCTTTCTAACATAGTAGTTAGAGCTGTGTGTGTGAATAAAATGGATGATGAATTGACTGAATCATTTGTATGGTTTTCTAACTCACAACCTCCACCTTACTAACCTCCGCCTCTACCTTATATCTTGTCTTGTAGAGTGTAGAAAGTAGTATGTAATAAGGAACGAGTTTTTATTGGTTTTACTGAACTATTTGATAGTATTTTGTAGTCCAAACACTTCTAAAATACCGTGCTCTCTTTACAATTTATAAAGTGCCAATATCTGCATTCCCTCCTGATTATTATCGAATATATGATTGCGGAAGTGACTAAAAACTGAACACATAACTGTTATGAAATAGCTTTTACGTCAGAGTACAATAAGGTCGTCGTTTATTGCATTTCCCGCGCTTAACCGCTAGGAGGACGATGACCTCATTCCTCCCGCAGAAACGTCATCGAGCCTGTTCCTCCGACTGAGACCGTACCAACGGTCAGAAAAATAGGGGGACAGCTGACATTAACGTAGCCAGAGAGGAACATTTCAGGCAAATGATTAAATTATTTCCCTTAAACCATAAAGATTTCAAACGAATTGCGGAAACATTAATCATTAAGTCTTTAAAAAATAAAACACAAAATTGATTTATATACATCTTGTAAGATGTCTTTGTATCTCCAGTCGCAAATAACCCCCTGTGTGGAACAGATGGTATAATCCTGTCTCGTGAAAAGACGTCTTGTTACTCAGAAAGGAATATTAATCATCACTCAGTGTTGTGACATATACAGTTACCGTAACATTTGTTATTAGGCTCTAAAAATAATCGCTGACGATTTTTAGTGTAGTTAAAGATGTCTACTCCAGCTAGAAGGCGACTCATGCGAGATTTTAAGCGGTGAGTAGCTGTTAAATGATAGATGTGTTTGTTTTGGTGGAATAGCTTGCTAGCTAGTTAGCTTCATATCACCCAGTTCGGTAGCCGATTATTAAACGTAATATAAACGATTAAAATACGACATTTAATGTTGTGCTTATCTCTTTGAGTCTGTCGGTAGTATCACATTGCCTGTTTACATTGTGGCGATTCTTAGAAACTCTAACTTACATGTGTTTTAGCTTATGAGCTTGCTAGCTAGTGTGAGCCGGTTTGAGAAGTTATTCAAGCTTGACTTGTCTGAATGTGATGATTATTATTACTATTTAGCCATTGTCTTTGTATTTCTAGTAATTTTTATAAGGTAACCAGAAGCCACGCTTTGTCGTGTGATATTCCAGGTGTTTCCTCTAATCAGTTCATGTGATTGACACACTGACATACACTGTATGATTGAGTGTTATGTGGTGGTCCCCCAGGCTCCAGGAGGATCCTCCAGCCGGCGTCAGTGGAGCTCCTTCTGAGAACAACATCATGGTGTGGAATGCAGTTATATTCGGGTAAGAAGAGAGCAAATCGGGCTGATCGAGTCGAGTCTGCGCCAACCAGCTCATGTAACAGAGTTCCCACGGTCGTGGAAAACCTCCAAATATGAGGGGATTATGAAATCGACATTACCAGACCTGAAAATCTGATACAAGTGAATTATATGATTAAGTATCGTGCAGCTTTTCTGTTCAAAAGTTTGGGGTCAGTGACATTTTAGAAGAAATTAATACTTTTAGTTAGCAAAGACATATTAAATTGATCATTTTATGATGTTTATAATGTTACAAAAGATTTGTATTGCAAATAAATGCTATTCTTTGGAACTTTCTATTCATCAGAGAATCCTGAAAAACGATTGATCACAGTTTCCACAAAAATATAAAGCAGCTCAACTGTTTTCAATATTGATAATAATAATAAATGTTTCCTGAGCAGCAAATCAGCATATTAGAATGATTTCTGAAGGATCATGTGACACTGAAGACTGGAGTAATGATGCTGAAAATTCAGTTTTACATTATAGAAATAAATTACATTTTAAAAATATATTATTTGTCATAAATAATAAATTTTATAAATGTATAGTATAAATATATTATTTTTGGTAACACTTTACAATAAGGTTCCATTAGTTAATGTTAGTTAATGTATTAACTAACATAAACAAACCATGAACAATGCATTTATTACAGGATTTATTCATCTTTGTTAATGTTAATGAGAATACAGTCGTTTATTGTTAGTTCATGTTAATTCACAGTGCATTAACTAATGTTAACAAGCACAACTTTTAATTTAATAATGCATTAGTAAATGTTGAAATTAACATTAACTAAGATTAATAAATGCTGTAGAAGTATTGTTCATTCTGATTTCATGTTAACTAAAGTACTCAGCTAATGTTAACTAATGAACCTTATTGTAAAGTGTTACCATTATTTTATATATGTATATATTTGTACCAACTGCAAAGTTTTGAAGGGTAGTGTTTGTAAATATACATGTATACATATTTCATTGTCTGCATATTACTCTTTTGAGGGCTTGACTGGAGTAAATCTGCCCCACCATGTGTTCAGTGCTCTAGTGTAGCATGTGTATTGCTGTTATTTGATATCATGGTCAATGTTCCATGTCAGTGTCCTCCTACCTTTGACCTTAATATTGCGTTTCTCGTTTTTACATGCAGTCCAGAGGGAACACCTTTTGAAGATGGTAGGTGTCTGTCTGTTGACCTTTCCAGCATGATCAAATGCATGTGTAAAGAAAATGAGTAAAAGGTGTTTCTTTGTCAGAAATTAAAGATACAATGTTGTTTCTATTCTGCACACAAGGTACCTTCAAACTCACAGTTGAGTTCACAGAGGAATATCCAAACAAGCCCCCAACTGTGCGGTTTGTCTCAAAGATGTTTCATCCAAATGGTGAGTGATACTTCCTGTTTGTCTCTGATTAGAAGCTTTGTCAAAGAGAAACTGACCCCGATTCTCTAATATGCTCTCAACAGTCTACTCATGTAGTACATTCCCACACAGAATCTGCTGCTGTTAAATTTAGTCATTCAATTAGTCTATTAGTAGGTTTTGTTGTTGTTTGTTTTGTTTTTATTTAATACATTTTATGCTTGCTTATATATTTCTTTGACAACTTCATATACTGATGGCAACTTTGAACATCTTAGAGTTACTGTATTTTCTGGAATTTGTTGGTCTGGGAGGGATTGTACAGCATTAGTGAGCATTGTTTGGTTGCTACATACTGAAAGTTATTCATTTTATCATGAGTCATGCATGTATTCTTGATTTAATGTAGTGAATATGTTCTAACTCTTCTCTTGCTGTCTTTCACAGTGTATGCTGATGGCAGTATCTGCCTAGATATTCTTCAGAATCGGTGGAGTCCAACTTATGATGTTTCTTCTATTCTGACATCAATTCAAGTATGTTAATTAACCGTTTTCTAGTCCTTTTATATTAAACAAAATGCTTCACGTTTCCTGTGGACATTATTGAATCTGAGAATTGTCATATTTGAATGCTTGAATTTTCCCCCCCCTTTGTGCTATACTCTTGAGGCCTCATTTTGATTTCTCTTTCTTTACAGTCCCTTCTAGATGAGCCAAATCCCAACAGCCCCGCAAACAGCCAGGCAGCACAACTGTATCAAGAAAATAAACGGGAATATGAGAAACGGGTTTCAGCGATTGTAGAGCAGAGCTGGAGGGACAGTTGACTACATTCACAAACCATGTTCTCTCTGAAATGTTGTTTTCCTTTTGTTTGGCTCTGTTGTTGGGGGTTAGTTTTTCAAATCTCCATTTTTAAGTTTTTATGCACTTTACTCATGCAAGATTGTGATTTTTGTTTTATTTCTTTCCCACATTTTTGCCTGGACTGATTTTCAACCCTCATTAAAGGGTTAGTTCACCCAAAAATGAAAATTCTGTCATTAATTACTCGCCCTCATGTCGTTTCAAACCCGTGGCGGGCGTATCCATGACGCAGCTGACACAGAACAGCATACGCTGTTTACGTCCAGCGGATACTCTCCAAAATGCCACCAGGGTGACGTGGAGGAGACGAATTGTTGAATAAAGTCGTTTTTTGCACAAAGTATTCTCGTAGCTTTGTAATATTACGGTTGAACCCCTGATGTCACATGGATTATTGCATAGACAGCAACACAACTGAAATGTTCCCAAGTCCAGAAACGTTGCAAGATGAGCAAGGAGATAATCCATGTGACATCAGGGGTTCAACCGTAATATTACGAAGCTACGAGAATACTTTGTGCACAAAAGAAAAAAAATAACGACTTTATTCAACAATTCGTCTCCTCCGCGTCACCCTGTAGCGCCATTGTGGAGAGTATCCGCTGGACATAAACAGCGTATGCTGTTCTATGTCAGCTGCGTCACGCCGGATATGTTTCCTACGTTGTTGTGATTTGATCTGAACGAAAACGGCGTATCCGTGTGACGCAGCTGACACAGAACAGCATACGCTGTTTTTTTTTTTTTCTTTTGTGCACAAAAAGTATTCTCGTAGCTTCGTATAATTATGGTTGAACCCCTGATGTCACATGGATTATCTCCTTGCTACGTTTCTGGACTTGGGAACATTTCAGTTGTATTGCTGTCTATGCAGGGTCAGACAGCTCTCAGATTCCATCAAAAATATCTTAATTTGTGTTCCGAAGATGAACGAAGGTCTTACGGGTTTGAAACAACATGAGGGTGAGTAATTAATGACAAAATTTTCATTTTTGGGTGAACTATCCTTCCTTTAAGATCAGTGAAAGGGGTTAATATCCCTGGTGAATAATGCTTGACTAATTTTGCATATGGCATGAACATGCAGTGATTGTTATTTTTTGCTAAATGCATAAGCATCTCTAAAAAAAAAACATTATGGTTGAGTCAATCAAGGCAGTCTAATCTGGATTCATGACTCACTGAGAGACATAAGTCATAGTAGTGTTGATGAAAATGTTTTTGGTGCTTTGTCAAATTTAATATCATGGTCTCACTCTAAAAGCAGTTAAAAGTGTCCCT